CAAGAGCCCTCCATTTGGGGAGACCTAATCAGGACCGTAAATCCTGCAGTCGGAGGTGCTTCCTCCTCCTTTGCCGAGAGCCAGTCAAGGCCTGCTCAGGGAGGGAACCTTCAGCAGGCGGCCGCTTCAGCCTCGGCTGGGCCGCCCAAGAGGGCTTGTGGTACAAGATGCAGAAGAGGGCAACTCGCGTGATGGGGCCAGAGCAGCTCTCCCTCCTGGAAAAGCTACCCGATTCAGGACGTTTACTTGAGAGGAGAGGAATGGTGAGAAGCGGATAGCTGACCGACGTGTACCCAATGAGGCATGATAGGAAAAAACAAATTCAGGAGCATGAAAGGAAGCAGACTGGGGGGAGGTTTGGCACAGAAATAAGCTGGCAGTGCCTAGTTAAACAATGATGGTTGCCCAGTTGGCTTTGGATAAATTCATGGAAGAGGCGGCAACCGATGGCTATAAGGTGGCCGCAAACACTTCCTCAGGATCGGAGGTCGGGCGAGTCCAAACAAGTCTGCCGCTGGGAAAGGAAGGGGAGGAGGGGTCCTTGTCCTGTGGAGGGAAGGCTGGCCTAGAGGAGCCCCGGGCTGAGTGCCTGGAGGGTTCCCTCTGCCTCAGGTGCACCCGTCATGCTAAGCCCGTGGGCTGGCGCGTCATGGTGGGGGGGACCGGGCATACAGGTGGCTTAAATCAACCATTTCACCCCGTAACCTCCCTCCAAACTCCACCGGCCCTGCCCACCTGGGGGGGAGCAGGAGCGGCCCCAGGACACACACTTTGCACCACAGCACGGAGCTAAGCTTTGTTCAACTGTAGCTTGTCGAATAGGCTGCGAGTGGCTACGTTGACACAACTAAGCAGGGGACACAATGATTTAGCACAGAGTGTGAACTCAACCCTTCTTTACAGACTTCTGACCAGCTTTAGCAAAGAAGAATCTGGGCGTCTCCTTGCTGAAAGGACAGATTTTCTCGCTGCGGCAGCTCATCCCTGCCGGAGAATCTCTGCTTGCTCTTAAGAAGTTGCGGGTTGGTTAGTGATGCTTCTGCCCGAGGAATTGCCCCACCAGGCTGGCCTCCCCCATGGGGCACCCAGCTGCAGGAACGCCTCCCAGGAAGCCAGCTCATCCAGCTGCTGAAAAGCTCAAAAACAGAACTCAGCAGATTCGACTAAACAGAGCCTCTGTGCGCACGGGCCATCTATCACTGACTGCAACATGCCAGCGAACAAGGCTTCTGGCTGACCACGGCTGGCAGCAGAACCTCGGAATCAGACGTGATTGACCCTTGGACGTTGTCTAGCTGCCAGTCCCTGTGGAAAGGACAATGTGAAGGGTCCCCTGGGGGCTCCTCCTGGAGGCCCTTCCAGCCAGGCGTGCCACCCCATCCACACAATTCACTGGCGCCTCAGTTGTGCAATTCCTCACTCGCAGAACTGACACAGCATTTTGGGTGATGAACAGAGACACACACGCACCCCTTGAATCCACAGGTCTATTTGGAGACCAATCTCTCTCTTTTGGTTTTCACCAGGGCAGAGCCAGAGAGACAGAGAAGAGGCGCAAACTGGAGGGGCCTTTTCTCCTAATCTCACCTTTATTTGGGGAGGGGCGCTCAGCGGCTGTTGTGAAACAGGCTGTTGGCGCTGAACTGAGAATTCATTTCTCGGCTCTTGAGTCAACCAACCCTCCCTGAATTCTCATCAACTCTTTACGTAAGTGGGAAGCGAGATGGGCTCCGGAGCTCTTCTGGAGACGGTGGCAGCCGCTGCGGTCTCAGTGAGGGCAGCAGCAGCCACAGTGAAGCTAGCTCATCAGCCTCCTTGCAGAGAACGGACGGCGGGGTTGGCAGCCGCTGCCGCTGCCGACAGGGGAAAGGAGGCACTCGCCCGTTCCCGCATGCCGGCCTGAGCCATCTCCATGCTGTATTTCAGCCGGCGTAAGCCTGCAGCAGGCAGTGCCAACAGGCGGACCCCCGCCTTGGCCGAGGCCGATCCCCCCTTGCTCTGCCAGGAAGAGGAAGCCTCTTCTCAGCTGAAGCAGGAAATGCGGAGACCCCCGCCCCCCGTGGCTAATGTGGGCTTCAGAGCAACTCAGAAGCAACACCACGTGCGAAGGTGTTCGGGAAAAGACCCCGGGCAGCTCAGGACCACATCTGGAAGACCGAGGATCATCCCGCCACCTTCCTCTCCCGCAGCCCTGAGTGACCAGCCCCAGGACGAGCCAAGCACGGCCCAAACATCACGAGGAGGGCAGCTCCAGACTTGCCTCCCACCTGCCACCCAGCAGGTGTGGTGCACCCTCAGCCGAGGGGAGGACTAACCAAAAGAGGAAGAGGGAGGGAAGCTAAGGGAGGCCAAAGAACGGGAGAGAAGGGGAGCCCAGAGAGGCCCTGGCAACCTGGTGCCTCTCACCAGCCCCCTCTGGCCTTGCCCTGATCCCAAACAGCCCCACCTGTGTCGGCTGCTGTGCCAAGTGCTCTTATTGCCAGGGGTCCCAAAATACGCTGGATGAGCACCTCCGAGGAGAAACAAGACTTGGTCTAAGGCTTCTGGGGATGAAGGAGAAGCTCTTCTCTGCACAGTGTACCTTCACCCTGCGAGGTTCGCTGCCGCATAATGTGGCAACAGCCACCGGTGGAAGTGGTAGGCAAACCCAGAAAGCCCCACAGGGCTCTTCACTGCACTGACCTTTAGGGTGTCTATCCAAGCATCGGGGTGCAAAGGGGGACATCACCAAGACAAGGCCCCCCCACAACGATGGTGGGCTGACTCTAGCAATCAGCCTCTTATATGGCTATGCGAGATGCTGATTGCTGGAGTCAGCCCACCATCATTGCATACCCGCAGGCGCCACTCCCGGTCCAACATCCACCAGCCCTCCCTGGCATCTGCCACCACTGAGTACCCATAACCCCAAGCAGCAGAGAAGCTCCGCTCTGGTGGCCATCTCACACCTCTTGGATTCTTGGTGTCCTCTGACCTTGGCGGTTGCTAGCCTGGCAACAAAACGCCTGCAGGAGAGCAACCAGGGCCAAGGACCGCCAAGAACTTCACAGTTTCCCTAAGTTACTTGTCCACAATGGGAACAGGGCTTCCCCTCTGTTGGGGGACAACAGGGCTACAGAATGGCCAGGCTGCTGACCAGAGTCTCCAATTTTGCAACCTTTCATGGGTTCGATTTGCAGGCCAACCACGTGGGCCAGGACTTTTCTACTGGGCCTAGAAGAGGACTGCCTCTTACCATTTGCCTCCCTTTGTGAGGTCCTCCTCTTTCCAACTCTTTGATTGGTTCCAACATCAACATGCCATGCTCTCCCCCCAGTCCAAAGCCACTGCACAGGGGCACTGCCACAGAAGGCTGCCACAACAGCCATGCAACAGGCCTGCAACGCCAAGGCCTCGGTTCAAGACAGTGCCCACAAAGCCTTTAGGACCTATCCATGGCTATCCTGGCATCCAGGTCCTGCTGGAACAACGCTTAGGGTTAATTCATGCTACGTCTGTACATCAGAAGTGCTTCCAACAACATTTGGGAAGCTCAGAAGCAGCAGAGGAACATCAGACACAGAATGATCACTCCCCTAAGAGATTCTGGGCGCTGGTGGTGCAGGAAGGAATTCCTAGCCCCCTCCCTCCAACAGCATTAGCATCTCCAGGATTCTTAATCTGGCCAGTAAACCCTATTCAATGAAGCAGACATTGAGGTCAGAAGGGAGATCATCTTTTACACTCAGGTGGGCAAACAGCTGGCCTGGGAAATGAAGGTTCCTCGCCAAGAAGAAGACCGCCTCTCTCCATGCTGGCCCCCACTCCGAGCTCTCCCCTGGCTGGGGAGTCAGGCCGGCGGCACCTGAGTCTCCCTGAGAAATCTCCACCTGCCCAACAGGAATGCTTCTGCGAGGCCTTCCCAGCCTAGAGCCTGGGTTTAAGGAACACCATGCAGGGAGGTGCACGTGGAACCGCCTGGCCCCGATTCTACCCAGGATCTGGAAACCAGTACTCACACGGCGCAGAAGGTGCCAAGAACTTCAGAGAAGGCAGGACTGCAGCCTTCCGAAGGCCAAGGGATTGAAGCACCCTCCCCGCCCTGGCATCCCCAGAGTGTCCCACAGTCTGCTCCCCTCCTCTTCCCCGTACCTTATCTGCCATGATCATGGAAGAGCCCCCGTGGATCCCCAAGATGGGTATAAAAGTCTGCGAGGAAATAAAATCCAAAATCTGGGCAATGGCCTCCTGGTCGGTGTCGTCTCCAAAAACCACCCCGTGGATCTTGGTGCCCGAGATCAAGTCACAGATGTGGGTGATGATGCTCTTGGGGTCGGTCTGGTTGATCAGGAGGGGCACCACATTCACATCAGTGGGGAGCCCCCCGGACACATCCCTGCTGCTGAGAGCACGAACGCCTCTTTCCGTGACGTTCGGTGTCCTTCCCAAAATGACAGCGATGTTGAGGACCGGGGAGCTTCTCTCCGCCCTGTGGACAAGGGCCAGATCCGCCACAAACGCTTGGAGCACCAGGAGATTCCAGCAGACGCGTGCCATCTTGACCAGCACCATGCCCTGCAAAGGGGGTCGGGTTTAACCGGACAAAAGGAACCCCGGGCACCCTCCTCCTCAGCGAGGGGGGCTGGCAAACCCATTGGCAGGCAGACCTCAGACCACCAGGCCCTCCAAAGGAGCAGGGGCAACGCATAACGTCAGCCGGCCGCGACCCCACTCTCCACTTGCTCCGGAGCAGAGCACTGAGCACTGAGCCTCTGCAAAGGATCGACTCTGCTCAGACTCTGCCTTTTGCTGAACAAGAAGATAAGCAGCCCAACCTGGTGGGGTGGGGACCCACAGAGATTCAGGACATCGGGGAGAGGGGGCTGCTGCCGGCCTGAGAGACACCGCCATGGTGCAGCCAACGGACACCGGCCCCACTCTGGCCTCGGTGCTTCCCTCCGGAAGCGGTATTTGCCGGGCCTCCTCTCCAGCTGGATGGCTGGCTGCTCAAGCAGGACCAGCTGCACCTCTGGCACAGGTCCAGGCATGCCTTCCTCTACCCGGCCTCTCGCCTGGACCCCGCCCCACCTGCCCTGCCCCTCCTCAGCTGGACCTGCCGGGCCGATGGCGGTCCATCGCCTGGGCCTTTCCAAGCACCAGCAACTTAGGGGCTTGGAGAAAGGGGCCCTCCAGGACCGGGGGCTGGCAGCCCAGGCCTTTTCACGGAAGGGCCACCCCTCCGCTTGGACGGGCTGCTGCTGACAAGAGCCTCACAAAGGGACCCCACATCTTCCGGGGCAGACCGTCCTCCCCCACCAGCTCGAGTTGTGTTCAGAGGGCCATCTCCACCAACGGCCCCCCACCCGCTCAGCCA